AAGGCGGTGACGCCGCTCACCACGCTGACGCCGTTGGAAGGGTGACAGCGCATTAAGCCCCTCTCCCGCTGTGCCGTACCTTAGGGCGGTCCCCCAGAAGCAAAGGCCGGAGGTGATGGGGTCCCGGGGTGGAAGCACCTTCCTGCGGGGCCCTAATTAAGCCTCGACTTAATTAAGGTGAGGAAGGCCATTTGCCTCGAAGCCTTGCTGGGCCAGGACGGAGCCTCCCCTTCTCAGTACCTGCACGTGACGTCTTCCGTTCGCTTTTACAAAGGAAAGAGAATGAAATTGGGGCGCGGGGGGAACAGCTGGAGACGTGGCGGAGTGCGGAGGAAGAGGAAGGAGCTTCTGCCCTGGGTGAGAAGCAACGTCTGCATCATCTCTGGGTATAAATGCACCTCCCTAAAAATAAAGTAGCTACAGAAAAATCTGGGTTGAGCAGCTGGGCTCTTCCCGTAGGTAAAAGCGTCCGTTACAACACCGAAAGCGTTTTGTAGGTAGCGGCGTCACTGCGGAGGTAGCAGGGGAGGGGAGGCTGGGGGAGCCCAGGGACACCCACCCCTCCGCACCAGGGAGCGTTTCGTGCAGCTTTCCCCCCCACCATCACCCGCAAAATACCCGACGGGACGGACTTCTGTGTGGCAAGCAAGGGTCATGCCAAACGGGAAAATCCGCTTTTCGCCAGCGCTTCTCGTTTCTTCAGCGGACCGCGACTGAGGAGGAATTCCCCCTGCCCCCAGCGTTGGTTATTAGTACCAGGCATTGGGATGAAACGTAGCAGAACCACGTTATCACGGACGCTGACAGGAAACTATTCTGACACTAGACAAAGCATCATCATCAAAATAGCTCCGGGCCAGGCGTGTTAGAAATAGCTGCAGAGTTTTTATGCTTTTCATTAAAATGTTTATTAAACCCATTTTAGTGCTGGCAAGCAAAGATAAAGCACATGAGATTTTAAAGAGGTACAGCCCAGCATTAAACAGATGAGCATATTTACACAGGTAGTTTTAAAAGGGCCTCGTAGTACCTGAGCTGGGAATCTAACAGCACAGAAGTAGGAAGACAGGGTCACTTTGAACATACCGTCGTACCTTATGTGCACTCTGCCCTGACAACTCAGAAAAGAAAATTAAGAGAAAAGACCTCTCGTCCCTTTGCACGCCGAGGGTGTACGGCACTGCACAGCACGGTGCACAGAATTACTGTATTAATTGTCCTCCACCACGTGGGCAAGCAAGTGGAGAGAGATCAGGTCTGAACGTTAATTGTTCCCAGGCAAGAAGAGCCCATTTCCTGCCCGTCCGAGTGCCTGACCTCTTAATTGCACACAATGCCTCGTTACTGGAGCTCACTACCCCGCACGGTCCAAGGGTGTGAGTTGTTTGAGTTTTCCATTGATCCTTAGAACTCAAGGATTAAATGAGCACAGGATTTCGGAGAGCAAGTCAACTGAGTTAGCAGTAGCTTCTCTGTTACGGTGAGTAACTGCTCCAGGAACACACAGCAGGCTCTGATACAGTGCTGCCCCATTACTGAAGAAAATGATTCGAAAAGCCTACTCTGGCTCAGGACTCACTTATTCTATCGTTGAATATTACCGATTCCTGCACGCAGGACCAACATCCTGCCTACCTGTAAGAAGAGGTGAAGCTGTGTGGAAACCGAGTAGGTAGGAAAACGTGTTGGCTTCTCCCAGTAAAGGCTGTTTTTACTCACTCCTTTGGTGGTGTAGTGGAGCAGCTGATAAATCCAGAGCTTTTCAGGTTAAGGAAGGTGGTATCAGCCTGTGATAGCTGAGTGTTTCCAAATCAAAGGAGATCATCACAGCCTGTGAGCAAGCAATTCTGCAGTTCCATCTCTCGTGTTAGTAGCTTCGGTTGCTGCAACTGAAGCAGGACTAGAGCTGCAAGGAGAGAAATTATGAGGTATTCTGCAGAGTTCAGGTTTAGAAACATGAAGCTATTTGACAATGCAAAGCAATGATGCCCTTTGAGGAACCTGGCTTACAAGCGGTAGATGCCGCAGACTCGGAGACAGAGGGGTGCAGTAAATAAGCTGGTTCAATACCCGAATTGTACCTCAGCTCCGGCGTTAGCCAAAGCTGTGCTTTAGCGCTAGACTGTCCTTTGACCTTACTCCAAATTGCAAAACCGATCGCTCACTCGTTTTACGTGTGGACGTTCCTCAGAGCCTTGCCATATGTTCAAATGGATACGTTCTCCACTAGCACTCCTGTCTTCTGTCCAGACTTTGGAATGTTTCCCATGAAAACTAAGGGTGGGAACATGAAAGCAGAGTATTACTAACGATGCACAACAATTTGCATCCTCGTTATTTAACCTTTTGCCAGGGAGCTGAAGAATTTCATAGGCCTTTAAGAAGACAAAACAGAGATCACAAGAGGCGTTTGCATTTCTATATGCAGAAAGATACCAGTCTTAGGTTAGCAATGTTGAAGGACCATCGAAGGTTCTTTCCCCGTAACACACTAAAACTTGGATGTGGTTGACATTCTCCTGGGATTCATACTTAACGCTAGGGCCTAAGTGCTCATGGACGATCTCCAAATTAGCAAGGGCAGGTGCTTTAAATTAAATGCAGTAAACCAATGGGCACTAAAAAAAAAAAATGATTGACTCATGGATACCAATAATAAAGCAAGCCATAGTCAAAACAACATTCCAGCTGTATTAGTGTGAAAACATGATAGTGCTCATTCTTTCACAGCTAGTATTATCAAATATGAAACAAGAATCCTCATCTATAGGCTTTTTTCCTAGAAATTTAAATTAATTCTTGAAATGAAATTAATTTCTTCTCCCTTACCTCTTCCCCCATCCTTAAAAGTGGTACAGCCATAACGAGAGCTAATCTGAGCTTTAGTCCATGAAGCGCAGTGGATTGTTGAAGGAAAGAAGAGTTCTCTAATATTATACATCCAGCTTCATGACTGAGCAATAGTTACAATAAGCACTGTGTGTGAGAAGCCTTAGTAATGGCATTCTCATCAAAATTTGGCTTGCAAAATAATAAAGTTTTTGTAAATACATTATCTTGATGAAGATTTTAACAGTAACACATCAAGTCCCATAAATGACAGATGTTATGATCTTTAAGTCCTAATGCCCTGAGAGGAGTTTAAATAAGTGTCAAGTACAAATACAAGTTCAATACAAAACTGCAACTGCTTAATTTCTGCCTAATCACCTTTTTCTACTGCAAACGCATGGCTTTGTTTTGCTTTGTTTCATCTCCTGCATTGATTCAATATCCAGAGCAATATAACAAACTCTACCAAAAACTCACTTCAGTCTCCATAGCTATCAGATTCTTTAGCTTGTAAATATGCTGAAAGAAAACTAAACCAGACGAAGGAAAAAGCTCAAGCTGATAATGCTCATGACGTACTGCTGCAGCACCCTCTTCTGGTTAACGACGCTGATACAACGACCTTAGGAAATTTAAAAGTAATTCCAGGTACAAAACCCAAGTCATTTGCCATTTAGGCGCTATTTCCCTAATTAAAAAAAAAAAAAAGAAAAAAGAAAAACCTTCTGCAAAAGCCAGGCCATAGAAAGCTAATGGTAGGAAATGCAAGGGGAAAATAAAACCCAAACCCCAAGTTCATACTACGAAAAGTCCTCCCAAATAGCTGACAAAGTTATTTCACTAGTAGTAGGCAAATTTACAGTCACAAGTTTAAACAGAACAGCCAATAATCACAACTTGAAGAAGGAAGAGCAGTAATTCAAATGTTTAATGAACTTCCACCTTCCAAATAGAAGGAAAAATTGTAAAAAGACAAAATTATATAAACACTTAAACATATGAAAACATTGTTAAGTTCAACATATTTTACAGAGATACAGAAATTTGCAGCTGCCTACAGACCGGACAGTTGAGATACGGTAGGCACTTCTACACGATGAACTCAATTTCGGTTAGATCAGCTAACAGCTGGTTACAACAGCTCAACCTACATAATATACAGAATATATACAAAAGCAATCTGGACCGCACCAACGATACTACAGATACCTCCTACATTTGAGTAGCTCAGGCTCCTCACTAAAATTCTAACGCATTACAAACTCAGACAACGCACCAGAACCAAGAGACGGGTTGTACTGGACAGAGACACTGAATATCAGATCGAACTTGCAGTTGGAGAGAATCTCACAGATGGAACCTGATGGCTTTGAGTCTGTTACACTGCAAAGTCTATGGTCAAGCACGGGGATCTTTAGTCTTCATGACAAAAGTACTTCTGACTTTGGCCACCTGGTTAATTATTAAAGGTATTTGCTTAATCAGAAACAGGACTATATTTTCTATGTTTTGGGAGGGGTTGCAGGAAACTGGTAACAATCAAACGTGATGTGATATGGTGAAAAGCCATGCAGGAGTGAAGTAATGATAGTGAAAGTAAATTCCAGTTAATTTAGAACGTACTCATCATTGTTGTATACAAGAGCTCCGAAAATCAACCCAGAACAAAATTAACATGCTACGTCAGAAGAATATCCATACTAGGAAAGACTATACAAGGAGGCCAACACCACCAGTGACTGAAAGAAGATAAAAGGGAAATTGAATTTGTAAAGGACGTAAGAAGTTCCTCCCTCTCCTCCTAAGAGACCTCTGCTTTTATAAAAACTTGTGGTCTACACCAATCCTCCTGGATATCAACCAGTTATTAGACAAGATGACTAAAGAGCTGAGCAGCTGACAGCATTCTCATTCTGGTGAGAGATAGCTTGAATTCTTACAAGACTAAAATCAAAGAATATCCAAGTCTGACTCCTTCAGTCCTGCATATGGATCTAGTGAATCATCTGGGGTCCTGGAGCAAATTTTGATGAATCAAGCTGACAATTCTCCGCAGATAGTGGTAACCAACTGGTACATTGGAGAGAACAGCAGAAATTTCCTCCTCCCTGGGAAAGACAAAATTATCACATATGTTTGAGAGGATACAGAACATTTAATTCCCCATCCCTAGCTTTGACACTTGGGTCATACGGGGTGGTTCTTTCTGATCAACTCACCCAATATTCCCAATTTGGTTTTGGACAGTAAAAGGCAGTGAGGCAGACGGGTAGTTGGCAGATAGAGACAGGGCCAACTCAAACTTGGCAAAAGCTGTGGAAGCGGAGAACAAAAGCTTCACTCTGTATGCGAAATAAACACAAACAAAAAGATCAATACAAATGTCCAGCTACCGCCTTTGAATTAGTAAAAACAAATGTTGTAATCGATGCAACGAGCTCAGTAAGTTCTAAGGAGTTCCAGCATATACTAACAGTAACTTCATAAAAGAGGTTGAAAGAACCTTTCCACTCTAATCCCATCAGCACTCTAACAGAATACAAAACCCCAACTTCCCTCACAGAAAAAGTTAATACACACAATTCACAGAACCTTTCAAAAATTATGGGAGAATATAGAGTAATAATAAAAACATGTTTTCTAATTAACAAAATATTCCAAGGTAGCTGAAGTTTTAAGTAGGGCTGATTTACCTCCAATTCCGTAATTCTAAGAGTTTCATGAATCCAGCCCTAAGTAAAGCAGGCCAGACTTCTGTCTAGCACTGTACGCTTGTCTGTGAAAATGTGGGTGGAATTTTATTGTAAATATGGGTAGGACCATCACCAAGGACCAGGAAGTAGATGCTTTGGGATAGTATAAACTAGAACAAGCACAATACCAGTATTTTCCAGGTAAATCTCCCACCGTTTGCAACTTCCTGAGCACAGGCTGCCCCCGCACCTGTTTTGTTGACGTAACTAAAGATAGCTTTTATGGGATTTTTGGCATGTAGTAGACCACCACTCTTGCAAAGGGTACTACAAAATTAGAATAACCTATGGGAACAGCATCAAGGCATGCAGAACACTTCTTAGTTAAGGATCTACATCAATAATAAAAGGATAAGGTGAAGTAGTATTTATCTGCTTCCATTGGGACATGCCACAAAAATCGGGAAGTAGTATGAGAAAATGAAAACTAAAGAAAATAAACTTAAAGTGCATTCGTCCTTCAACGACTGATTCTGCTTGGCTGAAGCAAACAGAAGATTAAAAGAAACAAACACTAAGCTACAGGTAAACTCTTGGCTCTGTTTCCTTTGCATTGCTACACTCTGGCCTAAAGTTTTACGTGAGAGAGTCAAGTCAAACAGGAAAGTAGCAAGGAAGGAGAGATTACATGATAGTAAGGAAGTGGCTGAATCGAAGAACAGCTTAATTTCCATGCATTTGGGTATTATAGAGCAACATATTAAAATAAATTAGATTGGTGTTAAAAATAGTTGCATAAAATCTCAATTTCAAGAAAACCAGATTGAAAATATTTCAGTGTTTCTGATTATCTAGAAACGCTCTCTGAAAGACCAGTGTGAACTCCATCTGAAGTTACTCACTTTGTGTCACTGATATCTGTCTTCAGAAGATTAAATTTTCCACCCCATCTCTCCAGAAATTCAATCTCCTCTCCTAAGATCTTGCAACGACTCACCACCAAAGAGACGTCACGAAGAACCTAAGTGGGCAATCAGAAAAGCAGTCCCATTGGCGCTCAGGCTGGTAAACTATGTGACACTTGAAAATGCAGTTTATGCTAGAAAGTATACCAAAAAAAAGTAGTAACTGCTCTCTCAGTTTGGATGTGAAAATGAAATTGTACAAGCATAACAACAAATAATACATTCTTTGCCCTAAGCTTTGTAAACAGGAATACAGAGACATGCAGGAACTCGACGTTTGGCTTGGCAATTTAAACCATTCATCCTTTAGGAAGCAGAATGGCATTCAGCTTGATTCTGTAATTTCTACCAGCAGAAAAAAAAACGATATTCAGAATATTTGTGAAGCAGATTTTGATTTGCATTGATGAAGCTTTCATTAAGATGTTTTTGTTCTCAGTATCAGCCCTATTCTCTATGACAGAAAAGATTTAGTGTTTTTCTGGAGTCTCAGGGGCTTTCCTGGGACATTACCTGGGGCAAGTAGCACAGCGTGGGACACTTTTCCTGCCAGCATCCATGACTTTCAATAAACTGGAAGATGAGTCTTTGGACTAAACATGAGGAGGGTGGAGCTTTCTCCTCTGTAATATGAAAGAAAAACATGTTACCAGAAATGTTTTAAAAGTCGCGTAGTAATGCATTAGCAGATAAACCACAATTTTACAGATGTCTTCCCAAGAACAGATAACCAGGGCAGCTACTTTCAAGCTACTTGAAAAATCTTACCATCTAAGAGAGATTCAAAGTCCAGGCTAGCTATCTTTCTGGAAGGATTTTCACCAAAAACATCACCATCTGAGAAGCAAAGGAAAAAAACCCAAACAGTAGTTATTTCCATACTCAGTTCTGGAGTTACAGCTCTTCCTCTTCTGAAACAGCCATTCGTTACGTACTTTTCTGAATTTTTATAGAAAGCACTTGTAAACATATTCAAAGCCACCTCTCTCAGCTTACATGCTCCCACTGTGGTAAGTTTTCTATTTCCTTTTAGCAGATCTTCACAAATATAGAAACTTCAGGATTCTATTATCTATTTAACCTTTCAAATTCATAAAACAGAAACCTACCAATTTTGTGACTTACCTATTGGGGGTCCAAACACAACTGTGAGTTCAATAGAATCATAAAGAAAACTAAAGACTGCTTGCTGTTCACTCCATTCAGTAATCTCCCACTCAGTGAAGCTAAAAAGAGGGGAAGAAAACCACCATCACCCTAAGTTTCAACCGACCAACCAATACAATTGTGTGAAGGATGAAGATCAGAGTATTAAGTGCACTTGCAGCTTTTACCACATAATATACCAGTGAAATTTTCGGTTTCCAACAGAATGTAATAATCTGTTGGGAATGCAAGCATAATAGTATTCATTTTACATAAATGTTCATTGTGGAATTGGAGGAGAGTTGGATCTAGAAAGACTGAATGTAGAGTATCACTGCAAAGTTGTTGATAGAAAAAACAATGCATCACACACACAAGTTCACTGAGGCTTTATTGCTTATCCTAGGCTGCGAGGAGATGGGCATCAAAGATTTCCCAAATCAAATAACAAGAAAAACAAAAAACAAAGGCCCCAGAACTAGTTGATAAAAATAAAACCTGAAAGTCTTTTCCTTACTTGTATGTCTCCAGGAGTTCCTGGCAGCTTTTTTCTTTTTCCTTTAGCTCGTTCATCTGAGCAAGCATTAGCTCATTCTGAGTCTCCAGATCTGACAGTTCTCTGCAGAGGTAAGCCAAGCACATGAGATGTAGCCCACTGGTTAAAAAACCACCGACCCTCTCAAACCTAAATGTGCACATGTTGTTGAAGGTCTATAGATCCTCTTTGAGATCTTACCTTTGAAGTTCCTCTTCTTGGGCTTTGAGGCTTTCCAACTCTACGAGAAAGGGAAAGAAGCTATGAGAGAAGAGAGCAGCAGCAGCAGCACAGCAAGCCCTAACTTGCTCTGCAGTCAGCGTTCTTAAACATATGAAAGATCTCAACTGGATGTCTGGGGAAAAACTGTCCTTCTCATACTTTAACATCTGTGTAATTAGCTATATCCAACGCAGAAAAGAAAGCAGTAGTGTTTGCATCCATATCAGAATTAATATTTCAGGGTGGGAGTTGAATATCACTCTCCAGAATGTAACAAACAAAACAAAAGTGCCATCCAGCTGGTAGCATTACCTTCCTCTAGGTTCTTCCCTGCTGCCATTTCATCACTGCAGTCTGCTTCCCGTTCTGCCCAGTCAGAATCTACGGCAAAGAAGTATCAGGTCTCTGCAGAACTCCCAGATTCAATACTTAGATTCTATTTTATTTGTCGATGGGTTCTATAAATCTTAGTATTTCAAAGCTAACTAAGAAAAATGTACAAAAAGCTGGGAAGGCATCTACCAAAACCCTCAAAAAGTAACAGATAACAAGGAAGACTACTCTTATTGCATTGTTTCAAAGCTGCTACTGTGCAATTTGATTTCTACTTAAGGCGTTGGAAGAAAAGTGAAAACACACAGAGCATCGTTATGCAGCAATGCCGAGTACTGACTGCAGCTCGTGTGAAGGCAGCCCAACAAGTTTTAGACCACCCAGCTATGATGCTGAAAACAGTATGGCCTGGAGTGCAAAGCTGAGTCGTGCCTACCTGCAGGACTGCTGGCAGGCTTTGCAGCCATTTTCAACTGCGTGTGGCCAGCACCTGGACCGATCTCGCTAGCAGATTCAGCCAGCTTGCTTACACGTTCATAGGCTGCGATTATAATTCTGTGTTTCAGTGCAGATACACTCCAAGTTTTGATATGATGTGTAAGTGATTTCCACTAACACGTTTGCAGACACAAATGAAGGCAGTTAGCTAACTTGTAACAAAGGTTTGTAAAATTCCAAGCAAGTACCAAACACAGAATTGTGAACTGACCATTTAAACAGCAGCTCTGCAGATAACCACAGAAATCAGCATATTGGTCACAGCTTTGGAAACACCTACCTTCCTCCAGAGCAACAAGACAGCTCTCTGCCTCCTTCAGCAGTTCATCCACCTTTTCTATTCTTGACTGTAGCTTTCCATGTTGCTCCTAAGATGGGAAAATTGTACTTGAGTCAGTGACATTTTTTAAAAAGCGGAATCGTCTTCTGGGACCACCACGTGGATCTTTGCTTGCTAAGAAACTAAAGAAGCTGATATAACCTGTCATTAGAACAAAGGAGCAGACTGACCATGCATAAGAAAGTACTAGGTACTTAACAATGTCTCTTCCTAATGACTTTTCTTATGAAGGGATGAGATAGGACATGGAAATAAATACATTTCTAGAGCTTCTAATACATACAAATTTCTGATACCTATCACGATGCATTAGTTCTGCATTTCCTTGTTAGTTACTAATACTGATGTTACTGCAGTATAATGCGCTAATTTCTGATGACATTTCCTTTAATACTCCCGCTTTTCACTCTTTAATTGCCAAAACCCTCAGGCAGAAGATTCCTGTAGTGTAAGTGCAAGAAAGTCACTGTCCCAGGATGTTTTACATTTGCATATAAATAAAAGGGAAGCACGTTTAATAAGAAGGAAACTTTCAAGAGAACGTGTGCTTACATACAATACTTAGGCTCCTAAACTTGACAGATGTCTATGGTAGCAGTTCCTTTTTTTAAAGCTAAATCTTTGCAGCCTTGTGGCACATTACCTGTGCACTCTGCAGCAATTTGCTGTACAATGTCACCTTCTCGTTGTGAGCCAAGATTTTACTCTCCTTGGTGAAATAGGATTTCATTTTGTTCAGTTCTGCTCCAAAGCTCCTCAGCTGCCATGAATGGAAAATACAGAAGAGAAAGTGAGTGGGAATGTGCAATAAAAGATTGTTCAATCGATCCTTTAGACTCTTTCTGCCTTCTCTGCTCCTCCCAATATCCCATTTCTGTACTAGCAGTATTACATGACACTTACAAATTCAATCAAATTTAAGACTGGACAATCCCTGTTAATTCAAGTACAGTTGCCTACTCAAGTAACTGTTTTTCTTCGCAAAGATCCAATGAGAGCTTTACTCAAATAGGAGCTGTCCAAGTAGCTAAAGAGATGCTTTCCCCAAAGCCCAGAGCACCTTCAGTCAGTAGATCAGATGTGTCTCACCCAGCTGTTTGAGATGTGTTTGAACACTTGCCCCAGTAGTGCTAAGGAGGCTAACTGAAATGCTCGCGGAAGCCCAGGCAGAACCCAAACCACAAGAAGTAAACCAAAACTAGTTTTAACAGAACATAGCTACAGATCATGCAGTTTGATGTTTTCTCTGACAGCTGTCAATCCAGAAGCCCCAGAGGAATGTACAAAAAGCTTTTTTCCTACACTGTTTGCTATCCGCCTATTTCCACTAGGTAGTATCGTTCTAATTGCAGTGTGTAGAGATTTGCTTAATAAGCTTTCAAATTTGTTATTCTTCACTAAGTGTTTTAGGTGCTTTCATTGGTCGTAAGTATAATTCTTCCTGAATCTAGTTAATAACCTAGCCTTAGTGATATCTTGTATCATTCTAATTATGAACTATGAAAAATACTGTCTTTTATCAAATAGAACCACGGAAAACAGAATCTCTTGACCTACCCTTAATATATTTTACAGGGCACATATTCTTGCATTCTTCTGACATACTGAAGTTCTTATATTCAGAAAATATTTTGCCTTGTATCACCTACCTGCCTACTGTTATTCTGTGACCGTTCTGGTTCTTGTTTTATTTGAATACATAAATTAACCTCACTTCATTATGTAAGAAACAACATTATTTCTTCATGTAGTATTACCTCTTCATCAGAGCAGGTTCTCATTACTTCCCACAAACTCTTATTCACATTCACCAGGAGTTGATCTTGGACATTTGCGTACTGTTTTAACCTGAAATGTGGAAAAAAAGGTTGAAAGAAAGTCTTGTTGCAACTGCACCAAGCACATAAAGCTGCACATTGGTATTTATACAATTCATTCCCCTTTTCCAATGAAAACATGGAAATGTACTTATTTTCATTAAGCCAGGTCTTACACCTTGGCAGGACCCTCTAAAGCCGTGATTAAATGGGGGCCATCTTTGTTAAACTCTAGCACGTAATGCAAAATTCATTTCCCATAGTCTTTTTGTTGAGGGCAGGTCTGGACAGGAGGTGGAGAGCTAGAGAGCCAAAGTAGGAAGTGGTGCTAATGAGGCTGGGAAAGCCTAACTACTGATTTTTAATTTTATCATAAAACCTGATTTTGCACATAAATTGTAAAAGGCATAATGAATCGGACTAGAAGTGTCCTTCAGATAAGAAAATAAATCATATAACTGTATTCCAATCTAATAAACACTGGAAAATTGGAACAAGCAGATCGTAACCTTTTATGATTCTGCTTTCTATGTTTGATCATTTTTGATGCAATTTAAAAAGTTTTACTCTAACTGTTCTGATGTGCAACTGAAGCACTGTATTAGTAAAAGATAGATTACTTGAGGAAAATCAGACTTTAATTATCTTCATAACCACAAGTCCTCCCCAACAGTTAGCCCTATACTGTCTAAATCTGTAATAAACTGGCTACCGGCATAAAAAAAGATTATCATTTTTTATTTTTCCCATATGCAATGTATTAACTTTCTTCAGGCCACTTTGCATGCAACCAGAGCTGAAAAATAAAATTACTAATATACTCAGTGACTGAAAAAAAACACTTACTCATCTATCATCTGAGAAAGGGCCTGGCAATCTTCTTCATAAATCCGCAGCTTCGGGCGATAAACATATTGGCTGTAAATGAGGTCTTCTGGAGTAGGCGGTGCGCTGACGGCACACTGGAGAAAAACAGAGAGAAAAATTGTGAAGAAAAAGAAAGACGCATATTTTTCCAGAAACAGTAACTTCCAATCAATTAATGTACAGAAACCAGCAAAAGGCCCAGAATATTTTTGCAGAACAAAAAGAAAAAAAAAAAAACACCTAATGGAGGCAGCCTGACATACTTAAATGATTGTTTTCATTCTGGACTTGTCCTGTTTTGTTCTGAGACAAGTTAGTGATACAATCTTAGATAGCTCATGCTGCTTCCATGCCCCATGTTTCCTCACTTTTGAGCACAGACTTCCTTTTGGGAGACATGCCCCAGCACTACAGCTCCAGAAAAAAATAAATAAGATGGGAAGAGGTTAACTTCCTTTTAGATGAAGACTGGAAAAATGGATGTACATTATCTAGGTAACAAGAGTGCTCTAGAACAAAACAAGATAGCTGTGCTTGATTCAGAATCCAAGTTCCCAATTTTCAACAGTCTTAAGCACATCAAATAAATATGACAGGGGTATTTCAGCAAGCTACCTATATATTGAAGCACATAAATAACTGACATTAATTCCATCCCTTTGGAGAAAGCTTTGAGGGGCTTTTGGGGGATGATGTTTGTCTTTTCTCAGAGATCAGTTACTAATGAATGGTATCAGAGCTTTGTAACCCTGATGAGTATTTTGGGACAGCTCAGGATGAATAAATTTGCAAACTGGAAGTGTAAACTAAACTGTAACTAAGATAGTACAGCATTTTAATAAAAATGGAAGATATTTTAAAAGTCATAAAGGATGCAATTTCATCAATAGAAATTATATTAATTTAGCTGTGATTCTTTGTAATAAGTTTTCATTCTTTTATCATAACTGCTTTAAAGAACTTTAAACGGACAGACTTTTCATTCGCTCTTGCGAAGTCGACACACAGACATTTTGTTCAGTCAGCAGTGATGCAATGAAGGTAGGCAGAAGACCACACCACTATGTGTGCCCCACAAGCATATCAAACCAGCCGCGGGCACTGGCTTTCTGCAAACTAACAAAGCAGGGCCCACAGTTGCAGTCCTTATTTCCAGGAACATATCTATATTTCTAATGTGAATATTCTACTGGCATATTTGCCCTGACAATGAGACTTCTTACAGCAGTAAGACCTCGTTGCACAGGAGCCAGTTTTCAACTGATCTGAGGTACTAGAATGAATTTCACAAGTAAAGAACTTTCACAAATATACCACTTTCCATGTGACGAATACGGTCTTGACCGCACCTTTTCATACAGAGCACCTACTTCACTCTTACGCTTATTATCATAAAGACATACTAACAATTCCTACCAAAACAAAACAGGTGTCCTGCTACCCATTTGAAAGGGGAAAGATTGCATCTCATTAGAACTTACTTAGCATTGAACATACTACTGAAAAGTTCTCCAGCACTCGAGAATAAGCTCTGGCATAGAAGAAACTCCCCAACCAGTGTCAAAATTATGCAGACACTGCTAAGATTTTCCACTTTCCAGGATGGCTCTTCCATTGCTTCACTGCATTGTTCACTGTGCCAGTAGAAACTGCAGTAAGCAGCAAGAAATGAAAGTATTTGAACTAAATCCCCATATACTTCCATTAAATAAATGCTAAACATTGCAATCTTACAAACAAGCTATCTCTGTTTATGAAACTTAAAACTTTTCCATGTCGGTATAATACCTACAGACAGAAAACTAAGCAGCTCATTCACACAACTTCATTATGTACCATTCCTTATAAAGATGATTTGTGAAACCCAGACAGGTAACAGAGACCAGCCCCAACCTACAGTTAGAAATTCAGTTGGCTACACAAATGTGTATGAATAAGCAAGTCTGAAACACTAGTCTTAAGAAAGCTTGTATATGAAAATAAGGTGCTTTTACTGAAAGCAAATGCCAAGACCCTGTTTTCAGGACGATTGTGAAGTAAGCTTATTGCCTTGTTCAGCATCAAGTTCCTACCGGTGAGCGGTACCTGTCTACAGGCAAAAAAGAAGTTGTTCCCATATCTGCAAGAGCTCAACAGAAACCTTTCAGGGTGAGGATACTGAAACTGAGTTCAGGCAGAACAGACTTAAGGGGAAGAAATAAAGAATAGTAATGGTGAAGCACTTATGAAGAAGAGAGTAGAACAGGTAGGAGGAGGCAGAGCAGCATTTCAGGATTCTGATTTCAGTGGCTGGTGGACACAGTAGAAAGACAAAGTGAAAAAGGTTAGACTGAGCTTCTAATTCTTACTTTCAAACTTATCATCCTTAAAACAAGTTAAAAAGGCAAGAATTACCATAGTTATCCAAGAACAGATAATCCTGAATATATGGTATTTCATGAAGAGATTGAAATCTATTCTGTTTTTCAGTACTGAGGTAAAAAAAGCATCAGACTTAGAGGTGAACAGACAAAGAGACAAGAAGAAGCACGTGGTGTCTAACACACTTTTCAAGGTGGAACTGACTTCTGTCTTAACTCATTTAAAGGCCTTTAATACAGACCAGTTAGTTGATTAAAAAAAGACAAAGGATTATAATTTAAGGTCAATTATATTATGCACATCAAAGGACAGATACTCACATTGGCTGGAAGATGGCTATGCCGGGGCTTCTGAATTGGAACATGGACTTGAAGAAGTGTAAAAAACTCCCCAACCGTGATAACGCCACTCTGAAATTTCTGTAGAGATTAGGAAAAAACATACAGATCAGTACGTTTTTCAAGCAAGAATGCTTACTTGTATATAAGGACACAAGTATTTTTCCTGTTAGGACAAGAAGCTAGCATCTTTCAGCTCTTTACATACCTCCCGTAAGTTATCTTCACAAATGCTGTCTGTGAGAAGCTGAGACTCCATCTGACTGCTTCGCTGAACTAGCCAAAAAAAAAAAAAAAAAAAAAAAGAAAAGGATATTGCTGGGGTTAATAATATTCTTACGGAAATATGAACCTAAGCTCTAGAAAAAAAAAAAGCAATTTTAATATAGAAGTTGACCTTTATGTATGTTTCCAGTGCTGAATGAAGTAACTGAGGAAACAACTAATTGGGACAAATAACGAGGACTAGATTAAAAATCTAATGTAAAATAAAATATGTGTCACAGTGGTAATGAAATGACAGAACTCACTTTTCTATGGGAGGGAAGCCATATGTAACATACTAAGAAGTAATAAAATCAAGAGACTCCAACTAGTTCATAGAGGGCATCCTATATAGACCAAGCATCCAAGGTAAAGACACGGCATTTGCGTTCTGAGCCAACAAGGGCTGGTTTCTCACTCAAAGGAAGGAGCCCAGCTTCTACTGGATAAGGCATATGCTTTCCCAGTTGCAGGAGGCCAAAATTGGAATTGGTTTTGTAAATTGAGGCAAAATACCACCTGTCAGATGGTTGGCAAATTTCTGCCTCATTGTTAAGTAACAGCTAATTAGCAAGAGCTAATTAAACCTGGGGGCTGAACCTGCTTAGAGCCTGTCCCTGAGGAGTCTTTTTCCCAGAGCGCAGTGCTAAGACACGCTGGCTCATTCTGCACGGAACCAGCTTAAAATCATCTTTGGGCCAGCAGAGTTTGAGTTGGGGCTTTGCTCCACTCTAAGGTAACTAAACTGCCTCATCAGCCCAACTTGCCCCTGAAAACAAAGCTATACTGAAATTCCGCTCCTTTTTCTTCCCATCTCAGGTTTCCTTGAACAGCGTGGACCCTTAGCCAGAACGTAAAAGCACACCAAGTAGGAAGGTGTGCCAACAGGCATTCACGGCCCTTCCCAGATGAAATACATGGTACGGTTGGGGATCTTCCTTGATTAAGCATAAAGAACAACAGTGTTTGAGAGCATTACCACAAAGGAAGCCTTACTGGTTAATTCTGTGTCAGCCTTAACAGAATCCAGAGAGCAGCTGGTGCTGGCGTGAGTACAATCAGGGCTTTTAGCCGATAGATTTGGAGGATCTTCTCCTTCGTGAACTTCTACTTGGCTGCGAGACACAGCGCCAAGTGTAACCTAATATTAGCAAGTTTAAAAAAAAAATTAAAAGAGTTTTATGAAACAAACCAAGAGTAAGTCAATCAGTAGTTTATTGTAGCTGTTTCTTGGCATTCAGAATTGTTTTGGTTTTAGTATCAGCACATTTTATATCTAATCAGCATGACAAACCAGCGTATGGCTAGTTAAGCTATTTCCTACAATGACGTAAAGGAAGTAAAGCTGCAAAATCCTTCATTCATTTCTCAAAGAAAGCAGTAGCCACCACAGCACGCCCTTCCAGCTTTTGGAACTAGAAAGTTTCTACTGATGATGTACAAACCTATTTTTAAGGTCAGATTAATGTTCCATATCTGCACAGATTTTTGTGATTCAGCTGCAATTTGTGCTGTCTATAAAAACCCTAATATAAACTAAACATCCCTGTTTGGATTTTAAATAATTGCTTTAGGCATTACTCTATCATTGTACCTAAGCAACAAGAAGCCAATAGTTTTGTTCAGAGGACTAAGAGTAGTTAGTCGAGAAAGGATTAAAAGGATACTATGGAGACAATTACTTAAATTGACATATCCCTTATTCTGTCTGGTTTGCATGGTTCAGGAAAGTCACGCGCATCAACCTGATTCTTCTATTTTGGCAGAACAATGAAAAATACAGATGACAACATAGCAAAATGACAGCAAACTGGTGGTTAAGAGAAACAAGAAAGCCTACCAATGGCTCTGCTTACACCCCAAAATTTAAACAGAAGCCCTGTTAGTGTTCATCTGTATCCTTATAATGAGCGATTAGGCTCACCTGCAAGCCTTGGCAGGCCTCACCATCCAAGTTTTCATCCCTCTTGAGCTTCTTTGGACTTTGAAGATCCTCCTCATCTAGTCCCAAAGCTCTTTTTGTGTTGTTGCAAGTTTTTGTCTCTTCATATTGATTCTGTTCATTGTGGGAGATTTGTTTTTTGCTTATCTCGTTGCAAGCATTTTCCACGAATTCAGAGCTTACAGATTCATTTGAATCCATTTCTTCTAGGCAGACAGGAAGAAATTCTTCTGCTATAAACTGAGAAGGGCTGAAATTCTGCCTACTAGACTTCTGGTTACCTGGGGTTTCACCAGCGTTTACACTTACTTCTGAAACTGGTGCTTCTCCTTTGTCTGAAGATTTTGCATTTATGTCTTGTACACTAGAAACAGAAGGAGTCCTTCTGTTTGGTAATTTAGGCTGGAAGATACCTAGAGGGATATTTATTCCTTGATATCTACCCTTAAGTGTCATGCCCAAATTTGCATCCATGGGAGCAGCTCCAGGTTCAAGACACGTGTTCTCCTGCTCTTTGGTGTTAAATGAATTATTTGGTTCATTTACAGTATTTTTTCCTAACTTCAAGGTATTCTCTGGCTGAGTTGATGATTTGGGCAGCTGGTCAGAAAAAGCAGTTTCAGAAATGGAGAGCGCTACAGATTTCCTTCTAATATTATTCAGTTTTGAACAAACATTTAAGATACCTGATAATTCAGGTGCAAGAGTGGGATCTATTTGATCTCTTGGACTGTCACTGACCAGAAGTTGCTTGGTTTGTTCAGAGTTTATTTGAAAGTCTTTTGGAGGTGTCTCCCCTTTAGCCGACAGCCCCTTATTTTCCTTTGATTCCTCGTTAGAAGTTGTAACAAGGTTTGCTCCGGCCAAGCTTAAATCTGTAGCTGAATCTTCATTTCTAGATGAATCAGCTTGCAATGTGTGGTTTCTCCGAGTACTGTGTGTGTCTGGAGACCCCGTCAAAGAATCTGGTTGCTGGATGGGAAGGGAAACACGGGATACCAAATCGCCACTTTCTTCGCTGCAATCCGTGGGCCTGTTACTTGGAAGCTTGAAAGACACTCTCTTTGATTTTGGGTTTTCTGGGGGTATGAGATCCTGCTCACTGTTTACCGGGACAGAAGTATCCGTGGGAAGGTCAAGATCCTGTGGTGCCCGCACATCCATAGTCTCTTCTGGAAGTGAGACGGAATAAACGGAACGCGGCATTGTGCCACTGTGGACTTTGACAGCTCCTTTCTCATGAGGAAATGCTGAGGCTGATGAAGCAGAAGGGGGAATGCTGGGCTTATCCTTACGTTTTGTATGATACTCAGCATGCAGGTCTTTTGTATGGGAGGAATCTATTTCATCTCTGCAAGATGACAACAACTCACTACGCAAGTCTGGTCCCTGAGTGCTTTCATGTGACACTTCTTGGTTCTCAAATCCATTAATATTGTTATTAACAGCAATAGTATGAGATGCAGTTATTTCCATATCATCTTGGTTGTGGGTAAACACAATGGTTTTGTCAGCAGGAACTGCAGAAGTGGCTGGAATGGGCACTCTGTCCTGTACATTGATTTCAGTACTGAAACCAGCTGTAGGAGTTTTTGTGATCTCCATATCCTCAGCCGTAGTAAAAATGACGGTTTTGCTATCTGAAATAGCTTCCTGTTGGACCTGCCTAGCCAGGTGTAATCTGTCCTCACAAAAGCCTCCTTCGATACTTCCCTCAACAGAGTGAGACTCGGTCATTTCCATGTCAGCCTGGTAACTCGTAAACATTATCGTGGAGGTTAAAGGAACAGGCTGATTGGGTTGCCTACCTTGCAGAGAATTTTCTTCCAAAGCTACATTGTGGGTTTCAGTGATCTCCATATCATCCACAGCAAACACAGTAGCTTTGCTATTTGAAAGTGCTTGCTGTCCAGCTTCCCTACCCAAGTTCAGTTTATCATCACATACAACTTTTACGGTCATTTTATCAGCAGAGCAAGACTTCATAATGTCCATGTCAGCCTGGCTACCTGTGAGCAGAGCAGTTTTAACAGGATGAGCTGAAGAGACAGAATGAAGCCCTCCCTCATTCTGCGAGGCAATTTCATGGCCTATTGCAGCCGTATGGCTCTGTGTGATCTCCATGTCGTTATTCTCATCGTTCAGTGAAAATAAAACAGTCTTTTCCCCTGTTGTTCCCTTCAAGCTTTTCCTTCCAGTCCTTTTAGCCATGTTAAGCATCCCTTGAGATGCAGCCTTTTCCACAGATTTGTCAACTGCAATAGTATCGAGTCTACTTATTTCCATGTCATCATTGTAGGTAAAAATACAAGTTTTATCTCCAGAAATCAAGGATATGTCATCATTTGAACTTTTACACTGCAAAATTATTTTGTCTGCTGAAACTGTATGACTTCTGGTGATGTCCATATCAGCATCTTCTGAAAATATGGTAGTTTTCTCACCTGCAAAAGGCAAATGTTTTAAGCCAGTCGTGGTTAATGTTTTCTTGCCAGATTCCAAGGAGTACGCATCACACGCAGGCTGCTCCTGACTATTTGTCATCATGACCTCTTTTTTAAAGAATATTATTTTGTTTTCATCTTGAACAAGGTACCCAGGTACTGCTTTTCTCTCTGATAAGACAGCATTGACGTTGTGATTAGGAACCATTACCGCACAGTTTCCAGTCAAGTCCATGTTTTCACCAGAGGGAAACACAACTGACTTTTCTGAAAACGCAGGCAATTGGGAACCTCCCTGATGTGGTTCAGACGTATTGGCTAGTGACGGCTCTTCAGCACCCCTCAAGTGCAGGCTGTCAGCTGAGAGAAGATTTTTAAAATCCACTTCTGAAGAAACTGTTTTACCAATTGAAAAGTGTCTCTCAGAATCTACCTGAGTTGGCAATATTTTGTTTACTAACTTCATAGTACGGGGTTTCTCTTGCCTGTCAGCGTTTGGGCAATCTGCATTTATTCCTAATATTGTTCCAAGTTGTTTGTTTCCTTTCATTCCAGAGGGAGCGGGCTCATTACTGGAAATCAATGAGCCATTTGGAGCCAAAGGAGTAACAGCTTGCTTATTTGTGTTCATTTTCAAATCCCCACGTTCCATCGCTGCAGTCTGACTTGTGATATCTACACCAGAACTACCAGAAGACTGGAAGGTCTGGGTTTGCAGCTGCTTGGATATTACATTATTTTGATTACGATTATTCTCGTATTCTTGTACTGTATTAATAGGAGCAACATCAAAGGCAGCAGGATGTGTTTTGGTTATGTCCATGCTTTGATCATCTGAAAACATGCCTGGTTTGTCATTTGTGCAGGAAACTGAAGCATTTTGAAAGTTTTTTCCCAAAGGTTGAGATACAACAACTTTTTGACTTTGCAAAGACATGAACGCACATGTGTCAGTGACAATATTCTCAGGGACTTCTCTCTTTTGCTCTTGTAATGAACACATGCTCTTTGCACAGGAACTTGGACCACGTGCCTGAAAGTTTGGGTTTCCAAGCTGCTTATCAACGATTAATATCTCAAGATCTTTAGTATTAATTTCTATGGCCTGGCTTCTTTTAATATTCCCATTGATACTGATCACCTCAAGATTTTCCTTGTCCGTATCTAAAGAATTTGCAGCTTCACTGACATTTTTGTTCTGGTTCTTTCTTGGAATTATTTTACAATGCATTTGTTTTGCTTCTGCAATTATCCCATTGCTTTGATCATCAATAACAGCAGCATGGCATTTGGTTATTTCCATTTCTTCCTGTTCATTTAAATTGGGAGATGTAGATGTGTTATCAAGAGAATGAGGTCTGCAGGTGACGGAGATGAACACTCCACCAAGAGATTCATTTTCAACATTCTTTCCATCATCCCTGACAACACAGGCTTTAGTCAAGTCCATATCTTCTCCTGAGAATATTACTGTCTTCTCACCTGGCAGAGCAAGAAGTTGAGAGTTTGCCTGTCTGTGCTGAAGTCTACCCTTAGAAACACCACTGGACACTGAATTCGTACAGGACTCAAAGCCAACATTCACTGAAGCAGTCCCGTGATCCTGAGTCACTTTTTCAGTTCGTTCACCTGAGCCTAAAGATAGTTCAAGTGCGCTATTTTTATATGACAATGAAGCTCGATTATCTAAAGACATCAGACTCTTCGTAGTGTCCCTCTCACCATGTGCTGGACGTCTCTTTTCTGCTAGTGAAGGGTTTGTATTAACTGGCTTTCCAAAAGTTTTATGGTGTGAACTGTTCATTTCTTTGGCACTGTCATTATAGATTACGTCTGTATAATTCCCAGTAATTTCCATGTCATCACATTTAGAAAACACAACAGTTTTTTCACCTCGGAAGACAGTCTCAGAAGAAACAGATCCTGGGATGGCAGACATTGTTCTGGCCTCTTGCTTAACAGTTCGCACCATGGTAGGATCTCGTCTGTCTTCAACATTTAGTATTTTTTTGTCTGT